CCCAAGCTGGCTCCGTTAGGACAGGCCGATTCTAGTTCCTACCCCCAACTTGCCACCGAGTCGGCCCGGGAGACTCACCCGACGAACCGATTCATGTACCACCTCTGCTCCGGGATCTGCCTCGGGATCTGATTGGTCCGCACAGGATTGTCGTAGGGCTGCTTGCGGAAGCCGAAGTAGTAGCCCAGGTACACCAAGGGCAGGGAAATGCCGAACCACATGCAGAGCAGCGCCACCATGGTGGGAAACGGCACCTGGGAAACGAGGCGCCGATCCTCGGACGGTGGCCGAGCACAGCCCCCCTCCCCCCCAGCAGGCTAGAGATGTGCGCGCGTGTGTGTGTGGTGGGGAAGGGAAGCCAACCCCCTTCCTCACCCGACCCCACACACTGCTAGGAAAGGTTCAGCCCGTGGTTTTCTCGGCACACCAAACCATCAACTCACCCCAAGTTCAACTCAAATGTACTCTCTCTTTTTTTTTTGGTACTTTCTATCTCCAAGGTTGTTTCAAAGACGCTTTTTTTTCTAAAGGCAACTGGACTTCTTTTGTGTTTCCTTGAAGATGCTTCACTTCTCATCCGAGAAGCTTCTTCGGCTCCGGCTAAGCGGTAGACGATGGAAGGATTGGTATTCTTTTGCAGCCCCCTGGTCATTTGCAGCATCTCCGAGAGTCACTGAGGCCGCTTGGAGATTTATCTATGCCCTCGGCACCACCCGAACGGTGCCGATGGGTGTGAATGCGCTCCTCTCACCAGTTCTGAGAAGGTTGTAGAGCCATTTGCACTATTCAGGTGACCTAAAATACAGACGGATGCAAATAAGCCTCCAAGTAGCCTCCGCGGCTCTCGGAGAGAGTGCTAAGGGCCAGAGGACTGCAAGGAACATAGATCTTTCCATCCTCTACCATTCAGTCAGAACTGAAGAAGCTTCTTGGATGAGAAGCGAAATGTCTTGATTTATATTCCTTGCAGACAGCTGGTCATTTGCATCTTTTTAGAGAGCCGTTGAGGCCGCTTGGAGGTTTATCTGTGTCCTCGCGATCACCTGAATGGTGCAAATGGGTGGGTGGAGCCTTCTTGGAACTGCTATATTGTAGACAATATGATGGTGTCCACCCCCTCTTCCTCTGTTGAGAGGGCTGCTCTCCCCAAAAAATTTGGATTAGAATCAAAACTTGGTTAGAAGAAATTGTCCTGGGTGGATTGGAGTGGGAACGTAGGTTGTATCTTCTGCATATCATTAAGGAATCTCACTGGCTCAATTTTGGAAATCGCCTAATATAGCACCAATACAATTTATTATTCCAAAAAATTGTGAATGTGCAGAAATGGAAAAAACTCACACTAAAATTCAAAGGAAAAGAGGAGGTGGAATTTTACTCGACCTGGAATAAGTGGTATAATTGGCCAGAACGTAAAAAAAAAAATGAAAAGGGGGATTAAGGGGGAAAAATAAATTTATGAAACAGATTACGATACATACAATAACAAACAGGAATCGTTAATGTCAGTTTTAGATTCTCTCGTATTTTAAACAATCAATAGAAAGAATTCATTGGTAAAAATAAATAAGTATAATCCAACAACAAACATTAACAACGGAACATTATGTTTGATAGAACTTAAATAATAGAGAACCCGTAGGAAGTAAGAAATAACTGCCACGTAATATAATTTTGGAAATATTTAACTCACTGTCAAATGTATTAAAGGAAACTTTAATTAGTTTTAGCACAGAGATTATGGTAACGTTGGTCTGTATGAATCTTTGTTTGTTTGTATATTTTAATTTTTTGTATTCAATAAAGTTGATTAAAAAATTTTTTTTAAAAAAAGAGAGAGAGGGCTGCTCAATTTGAACTTAAACGGCCTCAAGAGCTCTCAGAGAGAGTGCAAACGACCAGATGAACCCAAAGAAATAAGATCCATCCTCCTGCCAGAACCGATGAAGCTTCTTGGATGAGAAGACAAAATGTCTTCAAGGAAACACGAGGAATACCCAGTTGCCTTCTGGGATTTCCCTACCGGGCCCAAACCATTCAGAGGGATAAAGGGGGTAGCAAGGGGAGACCTACCGCCCCCGACGAGTGTTTGCCCCAGATGAAACAATTCAGGACGAAGCAAATCCCAAAGACGACCCCGGGATACAGCATGGCCGTCTGCAAGAGAAAAGGATAAACCAGCTTTAGTGGGTTCCCTCTGCTGGTGCCCCCCCCCCCCCCCCGCTTGTGGGCGTCATCACTTGTCCCCCCCCAATTTTCTGTGGTTAAGCGAGACACCTGCTAAGCGAGCTTTGCCACATTTTAAGACCTTTCT